AGCACTTGCAACATATTAGAGCAGAAAATAAATAAATAAAATCCAGAAGGCACAGCAATCGAGACAAAAGGTACAAATTCATGATTTCAATTTTGTTCTGTGTATGTGAAGTTGATAATAACCCAGACAATCTGTTTAATAAAGCTTCACCATTTTAACAAAGTCAAGGTATTAGTACCAAATTGAAAAGGAACCACTGTGATACTACAATCTGCATCCTTCAAAGCGAGGAGCACATTTAGAGAATAAGGTGAAGTTTTAACTGTCAGTTAAGAAAATTAACTGGTTGTAAACAAACTATTTAGCTGTTCGACTATTGCTTTTCAATCCAAGGATCATCATAAATGCACTTTATTCTCTAAAGTGCAACCTCCTCACTGTAAAGGAACTGTGCATATTGAATAGTAATCTCATCAGATTTAGTTTATCTGAAGAGAGCAAGTGTAGAATTAGTAATCTCGGTAGTTGACGAGAAGAAGAACAGTTACTATTCATACACATTCATGTTTTGTTACGTAATGACTAAATGAGCTGACTTTACTTCCTAATCGAACTGTTCAAATTAGAGGGCCGAATCCATTTGCATCATGCTGAAGCAAACAAATTACAAATGTACAATAAAAAGATTGAAGAAAAGTTTTAAACACAGCAATAGCATACCAGCGGATACCTTTGACCCAGTAAACACTTCATTGAAGTCATCTCCAAATAAGTCTATCTGCCAAAAATAATCAACAAATAACACACATTAAAAAATGCAAACTCACTCAGGCTTCACATTGATTAGTAAAAATTTAAGTAACATGATGTAAATAATAAACATATGAAGTGAAAAACTGATACCTCGTGCAATTTGGAGGGGTGAGAGCGAGAATGCGAAGCACGTGCCTTCTTCCTTCCCCGAGAGGATGCTGAGGTGGACCTCGACTTCGACTTCGTATAGCTGCGACTGGAACTCAACGAGCGAAGGTTAGAAGTATCGTCTTCATCTTCCGATGACAGAATAACGACGCAGCTTCTCTTTGACATCAGAAAACCCTATTTCCCTTTTCTATTTTACGGATTTGTTGCAACAAGGGATAATTACTAACTCAGTTCGTAGTCGTGAAATGAAACCTACGGAAATCAGAAGTGGCCGTGAATCGGAATCGAAAACGCCAACATGCTAATAGGGGGTTTCATTTTGGAGCGCAAAATACGAGAGTGAAAGGAAGGAACTGCGCGCCTTTTCTCTTTTCTTTTCTTTTCTCTCTCTCAGTCTTTGGCTTCTGGTTGAAGGGAACGAACCAAACCAGGGGAAGATTTTAAAATTTGAAATTACCATTTAGTACTTCTTTTAAGTTTAGAAAAATGAACTAGTTTTGATTTTGGTTTTCAGAAAAAATATATTTTTGTAAAATTTGAAATTATTATTTTAGTTATTGTAAAATTTCTAAGTTTTTCATTTATTGTAAAAAATAATCTTATCTTCCTAAATTTGTAAATTAAAAATTTTTAATATTTATTTTTGGAGAGACTAGTAAAAACATATGTACATGTGTTTATTTTTTATAATAGATAATTCTTTTAATTTAAAAATAATTAAATTTAAATAAATATTATTTAAAGAGTAAAATAATAAAGTAATTCTTTTAATTAAAAAAATAGTTAATTATTAAAAAAATAATTTTATTTATTAATGTCCTAGATAAATAACATTCATTTTATATAATTTTAGAATATGATTGCATTATATTACAGTGTTATTATCGATTACACGGAAATAATATTTAACTTTTTTTTTTCAATAACACAAGTTATAAAAAAAGAATTTTATAAGTTTAAAGGGAAAGAAGTTAACTTTAAATTGAGAATATATATGTTGTTATTTAAACAATTATAAAGGTTATATACATAATATAAATCGAATTATTTTTTATTTATCTATAATATTTAATTTTTTATAAATATACAATATTTTTTTCTCTTTAAATTTTTTAAACCATTTCTTAGCCTTGTGGTTTAGTATTTGTTCTCAATAGAAAAAAAAAAATCAGTTTGATGATGGCATTAAGAGTTACATATGATAATGTAAAGATATTATTTTAATAATTAACTTAATTTCTTTTACTACACCATGATAAAATGAAATTGGTGAAAGAAAAAATGAGCATTTACTGGACTAAAGTAGGGCTTTTCTTTTCTCTTAGATCAATGAGTTCTTTATTTTTCTATTTTTATTGAGGAATTTGTTAGCATATGAGATTTGAGCTAAATAGTTTAATCTACATTAGTCTAGGTTCATAGGGAAATGTTTAGCTTGTAAATTAAATTTCTTGATATTATGTTAAGATTTTTGTAATTTTATAAGGTTTGTATATAAATTATCATGTAAATTGATATGATAAAAAGATGTAGTAACTTAGTTATCTAAAACTTATCTGTAAATGATGTTTCAGGTTCAACTCTCACACAGTACATATTTTTCAGATATATTGTTTTTAATATTTGTAAAATGGATTTTAACATGGGATTATTATACTAGCTTTATTAAGTTGGAGTTATGATTAGAATGGTGTAGTAGTTTTGGTTTGTTAGAATGTTTGTCTTAGAGGAAGAGGTTTTAGATTTTATTTCTATCTATAAAACTTTTGGCATAATGCGCTAGGCATGAGTTTTTGTGTCGCTGAAGTACGTGTATAAATGTTTTACGATAAAATATATTATTTGTAAATAAATTATTAAATAAATTGAACTTTTATAATTTAATGACATTAACTTGATTTGTTAAAATTAAAGCATTTAAAATTTTTATTTTAAGAATTTAAAATACTTCATATTTTTAGACTTGTGTCTTTTTTAAATATTACCTTCAACTCAATATAAGTCAAAACATCATGAGTTTGATTAAAATTGAGACATCGTTGATTTGACTAAAATAGATACATTGTTAACTTTGTTAACATTAGGAAATTTAGAACTTCTGAAAGTTAACATTTTGTAATATCCTCTTATTAATTTATAATTTGAAAAGACTTTAATAACAAACGTTATATATTTAATCTTTGATATGAAAATATTAGTTAATATCTAAAGTAATTTTCTACAGTGACATAAATTGAAAACAGTAAATAATAATATTTGTAACTGTGTGATTAACAAATTATATATATATATATATATATATATATATATATGAAAAGAAACATAATATTATTAATCATACAATCCAAAATTTGACTTACGGTAATATTTTTATAAATATTTCATCTAAATTAACGATAGATCTCTTATATTATATTTTAATTTTTAATTTGACATTGATCATAAAATCAACAAATGTTAAATAATGTTTGACTATCTCAGGATCAATGTTAAATTGGGAATTGACAGAGTCTATTGTAAGGAATCCGATTTTAATTTGACTTTTAAAATTTTAGAAATATTAACCATGAAACTTTCTACTAAAGTAGAGGGATCCAAATTCATAGAAACAAGTTTTTCAATCGATTTTATTTTATCTTACTGTAATGGTGCTTGAGCTTAAACTTTTTCATTCTCCCTAATTACATTCTCTCTAATTATATTTCACATTAAGGTTGGTATTTTGATTTATTAGTCATTGTCCTAATGATTGAATTTTTATGTTTTTAGTTTAATCCTGACTTTGTAAAATGTATTAAAAATAGTTAGAAAATGATTTTTTACTTTTTTTTTAACTTCTATTAGATTGTATTCAAATATAATATTCAACCTAAGATATTGGTTAGGGATTTATATTGTAAAGATTTGGTGGTAAAAAATTTTAAATTGACGCAACTTTTGTTACAGACATAAGATGAAGACGCTAGGTTGTTGGGGTCTAAAATTTCAAAACTGTTTTTTCTTAATATCTTCATCCATTTTTCCATACTTTATAATTTTATTTGAGATACTCATATTATTTAGAAAATCATGAAAATTTTTATGGTATACTTTTGTATTGTATATTATTATTTTATGATTTTAGTAAAATAAAATATTGATGAAAAACTAAAAACAACTAGACAATGTTCCAATAACTAAATTTATTTAAGATTTATGCAAACTGACGTCTATTCAGATAACAGACGTTAATTTAATATCTCCTACAATAACGTCGCACTTTCAACAAACATAAAAAAACCTAAAATAATAAATATTAAAAACATCTTTTGTGTTAGTAATAATGAAAGAAAAAATATACATAATCAGGATCAAACAGAATTAATATAAATAACTTCAAGTCAAATTTACTAAATAATTTCAGACAGATACGACTTCTTTCTCGTGTCTTCATGGCACGACTTGAACTTTAAAATTTTTTAAAAAGTTGCACCTTTTTTATAATTTGTAAAGCAAATTACCTCACACTGATAAAAAATAAATCTAAAAAAACAACTGATTATTCTTTTCTAGAGGCTTTTACTGAAAGTTTGTTAACAAGTTTCAAAATTTTAAAATAATTTAATTAAGATTGTGAAAGTTTTTCAAAATAATTGTTGAAACCTTAATAAATTTCCTTTATTAGAGTTTCAGATGGTGTTCCTATATTATGTGCAGAGAGCAGAGTGCAGAACAATTGTTGCAAATCTACCCAAAAGTTTGAAGAATATTTGTTTCTTTGGATGACAAATGACTTTTGCAAAGGAAAAGTGAAGTGATTAAATAGTTTATTCATCAGTGAAGTGATACAAGATTTAGAACAGGCTGAATTTATAGGACTATGTTTGAATTTATAAAATAAAGAGAAATTAAATTGAAAACAATATTATTATTATAAAGTGTATACCCCATAAATGTAAATAGGTCAGATATTTTAAATTATTATCCTTTTTTTTTTGTAATGTCCATAAAAAAAATGTTATGATTCAAAGAAAGGAGGATAAAAGTGTCACTATCTATAGAACTAAGCAAAACGATAGAGAATCGATAAATATATAAAGCAGTGTAAATGAAAATATAAAATAATTTAAATATATTCATGTAAATAAGGTGGTAATTCCTAACTGGGATATTCCAGTAAATTAATACATAAAACATAAGTTAAGAAAAAAAAGTGAGTAGCATGAAAAGCAAATTTGACAATTAGAATCCAGAAGCACTTTATGGTCCAAGGAGATGTTGAGTATGTGAAATGAAGACCCAGAAGACTCCAACTTCTTCAATGGCAAAGGAATGAATAAACGGAACAAAAATAGTGATAATCACAATATTGAACAAGCTTTTTGTCCTTTATTCTTCTTTTTCTTTTGTTTTGGTGGCTGAAGGACAACTCTTATGGCTGCATCAAACACTGCTTTCACGTTCTGCCATAAACCCCAAAAAATGTTCAACTCTATCAATTCATTTAACCAATATTGTGTGCAAGAACAAAAGGAAAATAACAATAAAACCTCTTGTGATTTTGAACTGCACTCAATGTAAGCAGGTGAATTAATCAGCTTCTTAAGTTCTTCCCCCTTTAACAACATAACAAAATTTTAAAATTGGATTCAAATATAAGTCTGAAACAATTCAACAACAAAATATATTATTCATGTACCTGAGCATTGGTAATGGGTACAGCACCGGGATGGTCTACGAAGAACTGTTTATCATCTCGAAGATCTGTCCCAAATTGTTCATAGTTTATGACTAAGATTGAAAGCTACTTTTTTTTTTAATCTTATATATTATCACATTGATGAACATAGAAAAATGCTATTTAACATCACTTAATACATAAAATAATCATAAAAAAGTAAATTAATTACATTAACATATACTCTTACCATTTAAAACTTCATCAAATACGAACAACATAAAAAAAAACATATAAGAAATCACATTATATAAATACATGATTCCATGATATAAATATTAATTCATATTATATATAGATTAATATGCTAGAAGGAAACAATTAAAATGCACAAGTTAACTCACCAAGCTTTGTGCCAACCAGAATAATGGGAACACCAGGTGCATAATGTTTTAACTCTGGAATCCACTGGAAATGAAAATATTAATACACAAATTGATTAGTTTTTTAATCAATGGAAATATTCTTTTTGCAGTTATCATGGAAATACCACTTTCCAATCAAAAGGTATAACATGTTAAAATGTATAGTGAGAGAACAATCAGTACCTTCTTGGAAACATTTTCATAACTGGCCTTGCTTATGAGAGAGAAAGCCAATATGAAAACATCGGCACCTCGATAACTCAATGGTCGTAATCTGTTGTAATCCTCTTGTCCTATTTCACAAATAAAACAATAAAAACCAGAAAAAATTCGAAAAAGAAAAAGTAAAAAATAAAAATAGCAACAATATTACCAGCAGTGTCCCACAATCCCAGATTCACAGTGGCTCCATTCACAACCACATTTGCGCTGAAATTGTCAAAAACTGTTGGCACATAATCCTGTTTCCAAGAAAATTAAAGAAATAAAAAAATTAAGAAATAAAATATAAGATTAAAATGAAGAAGTTATTGTAAGAAAAAGAAAAAAAAAAGAAAACTGACAGTGGGGAAGGTATTGCTGGTATAGGAGATTAACAAGCAAGTTTTGCCCACAGCTCCATCTCCAACGGTGACACACTTGATGAACCTAGTAGCGCTCATCTTCTTCAATTACCCTCTATTCACCTAAAAACACGAAACCCTATCATATCATTCATCTGAGGACCTTGATCAATAACTCACCCACACACCACGCAGACAACCTTCCAATTTCTTCTCCTCCACCGCTTATTGCAACTTTCTGCTTCGATCATGCATCTGTTTGAGCAAAAATTCAATTCTACAAACTTCCGTCAAGGCAAATTCTAAAACAGATACACAGAAAAACGAGGCCTGAAACAAAATCCGGAAGTGCAAGAAAAAAAAAGGTAGAGAGAGGAATTTGGATGAAGAAGAAGAAGAAAAATGAGAAACCCTAACCCTTTTGGAGGAGATAGAAATTATGCATCAGGAACGTGAGTTGTTGTTGTTGTTGCGGAATGAGATCAACGAAAGAGAAAGAGACAAGAATTTTTCTAATCCGATAAATTTTCCTGTTGAAGCGTTCATTATATCAACTAATCTTTGCCATTTTTATTACTATTATTGTTCGTTTCAGTTTTCTTTGATTTTCATTTTTACATTTTTTTTTCTTTTAGTGTAATTGTGTATTTTTCTTTTATGCGGCAAATTTTACACACCACATTAATCGCAATGAAAGTCGGTTCAGACAGAGACTCATTTTCAATTCTGTAAATATTGTTTTATTTTATTTTAAAATAATATAAAACCAATGGCAATGGAAAAGTTTCGAGCATTGGTCAGATGAAACCAAAAGTTTTCAACCAAGAAAATCACTTATTTGATTAAAGAGGAAATAAATAGAGAAAATAAAGTTTATATCCAAGGAAGTAAACTAGATAAATTTTTATAGTGAATATTCGGTAATGGGGTTGATGTTAGCTTTTTACTTTATAAGTGTGTTATTCAATATTACCTATATATTTATCTCAAATTTATATTTATAAATTTTTAGATAAGTTTTGGATTAATAAAAACTTAATTATGACACATATTCTATTCATGGGACAATATTTATATATCTATAAATTTTGTTGCTGATAAAAGAAAACACCTTTTACCCCTTCCCCTTCTGTTCCTAATCGTGTTAGATTTATGTTCTAAACATCTTATGCATACTATAAGCTAGGTATCAGTTAGAGTAAGGAAAAGTTACCTTCAACTTTTTCTATAACGCATAGTTAGTTTATATTATAATAAAAGTAGGTAAAAGATATATCCGAACCACAAGTTAAAAAAAAAGTTTTTATAACTAAATTTGTTGTTTTAATTTATAAAAAAATCACAATCATATATATTTATCCTTGTTATAAGAATGTCTTCAATGCGCAATATTTTTTCCCTAAGTATGCATAAACATAATTTCTTTAAAATAACCACTATTAAAAAAAATTAACATATAAAAATATAGTGGGTGAGAGAGCAGAGTGGATTGACATTGGAGAAACTGTTGTTGAAATTAATAAAGTATTGGTCAGTGTATTCAAGTTATTGATCTTGGGTTTTCTTTGCTAAATATTTTTTTTAAGAAGTGTTTTTTTTTACAAAATAATTACTTTTTAATCTTAACACGTTTTCGATAAATTTATTTTAAAAATAAAAAAAAAAATAGAAAATGTTTTGGTATACTTAGTCTTAGATAATTTAGGATTTAAAGTAAAAAAATAATTGAAATACACTTTCCTTTCTTAATTTTTTCCCAAACATTTTTAATAACAAAATGATGGTGAAGCTCTAAAGTTTAAAGGAGATAATGCCTCATAGGTATATAGGTATTATAATGGAATTGAACTTGGAAAATTGATGTGAAAATAAGAGAAATGATTTAAAAAATGAACTCTTATTTTCTTAATCCTCTACCGGAGAGAATGAAAAAGTGATTATAAAGAGATTTGTGTTCATATGAGAGAAGAAAATAGCATTGGTCATAGTGGAATATGTAGCAGAATAATGTTTTAGGTATATAAGAAAAATGTACGGAATCTATATGGAACTATTGATTTTATAGGGCTATATATATGGCAAACAGATATTCGATGCTTTCAATAACTCCTTATATATATATATATATATATATATATATATATATATATATATATATATATATATATATATATATATATATATATCGACTCGTTTTTTTTAATAAACAGTAAATTAATCTTTATTCATTTTAAAAATACAATTGAATTGTATGAGATTGCATTTTGTATTTATAAATAATATTTTTCCTTTTAGTAATAAGATGTAAAAATTTAGACTTCATTATCTCGTATTATTTTACTTTCTATTTTATAATATTGTATTAGCACGAGGGCTCTATCAATTAAGCTATAGTTTTAAACATGTTGCAAATTAAATTTGTGGCCCTTAAAATTATGGGAATTAATAATTACTTATTTTAGATATTACAAGTTGAATATTAGATGTTGAATTACGTTTATATGCAATGAGTATTGATGATGTCATTAAAGAAAAAGTTTAAGTATTTGAGTAAGATAAAACTAAAGCTATGAGTTTCCTTCATCATCACCTCCATGAAGGATTGAAATTTTAATATATATCTTACTGTCAAAGACCCTACTGTGTTGTGGAACAATTTAGAAAAAATACATGACCACCAAAAAATTATGATTGCTCTTATGATTAGACGCATTTACGATGGTAATATTTTAAAACTATAAGTGGGAAAAATTAATGATGTGGAAAAAAAAATTACTAATGATAATATGTTAAAAACAACATTCTCCATTTTCATGCAAAATTAATGATGTGGAAAAAAAAATTAGTGATGATAATATGTTAGAAACAACATTCTCTACTTTCATGCAACTATAATTTGCTCATGTAACAACAATATCATGAAAAAAGGATTTTACATATATTCCAAATTAATTTCAGATCTTTTTGTGAATGGACAAAATAATAATCATTTTATGAAAAATCACATGGTCCGCCTAACTAGTTCTACTTCATTCCCATAAGTGAATGCAACAATATCTGATTTATATTTTTGTGGTCGAGGTTGTGACCATCGCAATGATTGTGGTCGTGGTCGTGCTAGTAATCATAATAATGGACATGTCATAAAGAAAATTTCAAAGAGATTTTATCATGATGTAAAAAAGGAGAAAGAAAATAGTGAAAATAATATCAAACAAGATATATAATTGCTTATTATCAACTCGCAATTAGACATTTGCAAGGTTATTAACACAATTAATCAAGTTAAGAGCTCACTTTCCATATTATCCAATTCGTCTTGTGAATGTTGGCGAATTTACATCTCATATTTTTAATGAGTATTGTATATCAATTAGAATTGAAATTGAACATATAGTATAACATATGTTCATACTCAAAATGAACTTGCAAAGTCATTAATAAAACGTCTAAAATTGATTGTAATATAATTACTTATAAGATCTAATCTCCCAATGGCTACTTGTGATATGCAATTTTACATGTTACAATATTGATTAACATCAAGTCAACAAGTTATCACAAATACTTTCCTCTAGAATTGATTTTTGGTCAACAACCTAATATTTCTCATTTAAGAATTTTTAGGTGTGATGTATATGTTTCAATTTTCCACCAAAAACGACTATGATGGATCCTCAAAGATGATTGGAAATATATGTTGGATATGATTCTTCATCAATAATAAAATATTTAGAACCATCAACAAAAGAATTATTTACAGTTTGATTTGCCGACTGTCATTTTGATGAATCATTTTTTCTAACATTTGGTGAAAAAGGAAAACAATTGAAAATGGCATTGATTGGAATGAATTATCATTATATCATCTTGATTTTTGTACAAAAAAATGTAACTGGAAATTCAAAAAATAATTCATTTACAAAAATTGGTCAATCAATCAATAGATGTTTTTATTAACACAAAAAGGGTAACTAAGTCACATTTACCGGTAACTAATTAACTAATACTCCAAATAGAATTGATATTCATGTTGGATAACCTAACATTGCAAATGAATCTCAAACGCGCTTGAACTATTGTAGACATGTTGGTTCCAAAGATAAAAACTCTCAAAATGAGTTAAAAAGCAAGATGACCTAATTAAGGAGATGAAAATCTCTAAAGATTCATTTGACATATGATTAAGTTCCAGAAAACCTCAAATATCTGAAATTGTTAAAAATGATATGATCTCAACAAATTATGTCATAAATAAGATAATATGGTCGAAACAAAATTAATATTGATGAGACTTTTTTGCATATAATTTAGTCATAAATGTTATGAGTGACAATAACATTCTAGAATCAATTACCATTGAAGATTTAAGAAAAAAAATGATTTGTCAAAATCCAAAAATATAATTGAAGTAGAATTAGATTCTCTTGCTAAACAAAAGGTTTTTGGGCCAGTAATTCCCTAAGGGTGTAAAACAAAATGAGAATGGTGAAATTGTTAGATAAAAAAGAAAAAGAAAAATCAGTGTATAAAATATAATTGAAAGAGGAAAAATTAAAAACATATTGAAATTTAATGTGAATTATTTAACTCAAAAAATATTTATAGAAAATAATAATTTTTAAATGTTAATTAAAATAAAATAAAAAATTGGAATAACTATTTACATTATTTGTAAAGTTTAAAGTTAACTGGTATTGAAAAAAAATCAATTCATTTACGAATGATAAAATTTTTTAGGATTGATTAAAATTTAGAATGCATATTTATAAAATATAAAAATTTAAAGGAGTTAAATACTCTTTATCCTTAATAAAAAAAAATCACAATAGCTAAGGCTTTTTGTCTTATAACCTAAGGGAGTTTAACATCAACCCATCCTTAATTTCCTTACAAAACACATTTATAAGGTGGGATAGCTTGTAAAGCTATACATATTTGTTTATAATTTTTTTAAAATCTTATATTTTTAAAAACAAAGAAAAACTAATTTTAAAAAATATTTTTTCAGATTAAAATGCAGCCGTTTTTTAATAAACAGTATGTATTGGACTTGACAAACTTGGGCTGGATTGTGTGCTATTGGGTTTGGGCCCTTAATTTTTGTTAGAAACAAAAACAATTTTGAATTTAATTTTATATATATACCATGATGCTCATTCTGCATCATTTTCTTCTAAATTCCAAAAAAAAAAGGGTGTTATGAGATGTAAGGAACCAATGTAGATTGAATTTTGTTTGGTGTATAAAGAGAAAGCCAACATTTTTTCTTATGAACAATCGCTTCTTGTCAGGACTCTTAATTTCTGTAGAGAAAGTGGAAGCCAGGTGAAGAAGTGAGAATGTAGAAATTTAGAAAGTGGAAGATAGGTGTGAGCAGCAGAGTGGATCGATCGGTTTTTTACGGTAGTATTTAATTGAAAATTTCAAATCTGGTGCGATTTTCTGCATGCACTTTCTTCCCCAACTTTCTGAAATCTCATTTTCTCCTCATTCTCTCTAACTTCTCTCTAAATTATCCTCCTTTTCTCTACAAAT